ACCGACGCTGAGTCCGGTCACACCGAGATAGTAAAACGTGTCGAGCTGAGAGTTGCGGCGTAACGGAGCCGTAACGGCGTTGGGACGGAGCGGCGAGTTGAAATCGAGAGTCGATGCAGAGTCGGAGTCGCGGTCCACGAGGCAGTAGGAAAATGACGTGGCATTGAGCTGGGATGGAAACGAGAGTGAGCCGCCACCGAGTCCGAGAAGCCCAGCCGCTCCGATGAACAAGCCCTCGTTGGTGTGGCCACAGCCGATGGCAATCTCCTCCGCCGAAGCCCCGCCTATGCTGATTGTCTCCGTCACAAAGTCGCCGACAGTGTACGAGCCGTCGCCGTACGCCACCTCGTAGAGACACGTGCCGTTCCGACACTCAAACACATCGAGGGATTTGCATTGTTGGGATTCGCACGAGAGCGGCGAGAAGGAAGTCGAGGAAGCCGGCTCGAATATAGGGTCGGCTTGCTGGTAGCAATCGGCGCAGGGTGCGCACTGCACCCAGCTGATGTCGCTCCCGGTGTCAAGCACCACGTAGGCCTGACTCGGCGGTTTTCCGATCCCGACTCGGGAGAAGTACTCGCCGCTACCCTGACTCGTCCCGGAAATAATGGGGCCCTCAAAACCATCCGCATCGAGCTGTAACCCGCTGCCGGTTTCCACGGGTTTAAGGTCCGACGTGGCAACACCTCTAACGGCCAGATCCAACCGATTGGTGAGAGATCTGACTCGGGCCGAGTCGCGCTCGAGTCGAGCCAAAGTGAGGGACTTGTAGTCGCTGTGAGAAGGCGCGTGGAGTGAAATTCGGGAGTGTAACGGTATAGAAAGCGAGCTATGGTCTTGCTGGTACAATGCCTGTGCCGTTCTACTTGTATCCTCCGCCGACAGAGCTCTTAGTGTCGTCTGAATCGAAGCGGCGACGTCGAGCACCGTCGTTTTGGAGGTCGACGGCGAGCTCCGGGAGTGGGCAACTTGGGAATGACAGTGAAAGAGGAAAGCAAAGAGAATGCAGGAGAGGAAACCCATTCCGGCCATTGAGGTGTGTTCTGGGGAGAGAGTGGGAATCCAATGCTGTTATATAAGAGGGAGAAAAGTGGGGATAAATTACTACGGGAATTCACGTAAAGGACATTGGAAGAAAACAAAGGCAGATTTGTGGGGTGGAGAGCGGAGGAGGAGGAGAGTTTGTGGATTGAATTTCACTATCAGGCTTTGTAATATTAATTGCAAAGGAGTTTTTGTTTAGGGTTTCACTATCTTTGCATGTATGCTATTAGAATTGTAGTATATGTATTGGCACGAATTGTATGTAAATTTGGCATCATTTCTAATTTAACGTTTAGACCGATTTCATCACTCGAACATTAAACGGTGCAGTTTAATTAGATTTAAGCTAAAACAAGTGAATAATTACAATATTATGTTTGTGAACATAGACTACATTTTATGTTACAGATGAAAAATGATTTACACATACTCATTTAGACTTAATAATAGTAAACTTAAGAAAAAAATGGTTCCATAAGGAGTTCAGTTTGGTTTGGGTTCCATTATCTTTGCATGTGTGTATTTTTCTTTGGGATTTGTGATTTGCTAAAAAGATAGAGAGGAGCTTAAGGTTAAAAATCTTAATTAAATTGCACTCAAAGGATTAGGTGGTGTTTATATTGGGACTATGGGGATATGCGTCATTGTGGTTATATATAATGCTTTCTACATCTAACTACTCTTTTTTGACCAATTTAGAGACGAATAACTGATCATCTTTGTGAGGATCCTAAGGATTTTTAACTTGTGTCTGTTTATCGTACATCGTGCATCTAGTTTTCATCCGATACTATTTATATTTAATTAAATAAAAATATTTAAAATAATTTATAATCACACGATATACGATGAAATAATATGATTTGAGGATCCCTATGATCCTCACAAAGAGGATCCAAAGATGATCTTCATTCTTTAGAGACTAAACTAATTGAGCAATGCTATGAAGATTAAATTTTTTTTAACTAAATTTGTAAACTAAATGATGTAGTTGTAGATAATTGGATTATTAATTATGATCGGTTAACGTGCTTGTTTTTTATTAGTGACACACTCTTTTGATTTGGAATTTGGTTTAAAAAATTTAATCTCCCTAGCATTACTCATGAGGCAGATGTCTACCCTTCTGTTTTGGTACCCTTCACATCCTTTCCTATTTGTACGATCACTGTTAAATCATGTCAACATTTTATATTCTTATTATTTTTTTGTCTGATATGACTTAATCGTAATTACATAAAATAAAAAGGGATGAAAAATGCATCGAAACAGGAAGGCAGACAATCTGCCTCCCATTACTCAAACTAATTTAAGGAGTGGTTTGTGGAGGGTTGGTGCCCAAAAGCAAATTCAACCTGCAGGGGAATAGTGCAGGTCAAAATCCAAAAGTAAAAGCTTGAACTCATGTACTTGCCATGATTACCATTAATGATGCGGGACCCATAATCTAATTATGTAACAAACTAAGTATCATAGTCTCATGCACCGCGTGACCGTAATTATCATTTGATGTGGGACTTATGGCCTTTGGTCAATGAAACTTTAGTGCAATGAGCATATGAGATGGATTTCTTTGTGTCAGTGAGTCCATGACATACAAGTTGATAACTTATCTTATACAGATTATGGTGAGATGAGAAAATCAAATCTAGATTTCAAGTGTCAAAGTAAGGACACTAGAAGTCCCACTGTTCTTTGTTATTTAATCGACGTTTTAGTTTTTTTAGCGTCATGTATATTTTTATATGCCCGAGCCTAAGTGGCGTAGAGAAAAACTTATGTGACATGTATAACCATTTTCTCTTTCATTTTTGTCAATTAAGTTTTTATATAAGACACTAATTTGTTCAACCAGACTAAAGTTATAAGGGCACCCAACAACTTTTATTAGATAAAATCAAACACGGAGCATCGTTTCAACAATAGCTTCTCCCCTTTGTGTAAGCTGTTTTAATATAAAATGAGGTGTGATAACAAACTAGGTTTTATTAGTGCTATAAAAAGCAGTTTAGGCGTCGCCTAGTTGGTATTCGGGCGGCGAGTAGGATTTGGAACAAGAAATGTTTGAGAAGTGAGTTAGAGGTTGGTAACAAGAAATATTTAATTGTTCAACCAGTCGAAAGGTCCTTTCTCATGGAAAGGGATCCTCTTCTGATCCATTCCACCAAATCCACCATAATTCGGGCTCTTGAAATTTGATCTAACGGCTAAAATTATTATAACTTTTAACGGGACCCTTTGTTTGTAGCTGTTGAATCAAATTTCAAGGGCTCGTATTGATTGATTGGGTAGATTTGATGGAAGGGATCCGGAAATGATCAATTTCTGAAGCATCTTTGTTTCAAAATAAAATTCTTACCAAATAATACTGAATGACCCTTCATTTTGGTTGTTTGGACACCCTTGTATTGTACTCAGCTAAGAATTTGGGCCGGCCCATTGTTTTCATCCTTGTGGGCTTGAAATACATTATTTTGAAATGACCAAATTGACGTACGTGGTCCACAAGCCCATGAATTAATTAATGACGTATTTCTTGAAGCATTATGACGTTTACAATGATATTCTTTATAAATAATAGATGTATGATCGATTCTCAACTGATTAAAAAGGTGGCGGACGAAATAATAGACATTCTCGTCTTTGATGCGTCATGGAATTATATTATTGCTATAAATTAAATCTTAACCATCAATAAGTCAAATAATAAGTAAATATAATCAACATATGTAATGATAACATTAGCGTAAAACTCAAAGTTGTTGATTAAGGGGATGTATTCAATTGGGAATTTGAGAGATTTTAATGGATTTTTCCGGAGTTTAACTAATTTGTAGAGATTCTATGTAAAATTTTGATTCAATTCCTTTGAAATCTCATGGAAATATGTGAGATTTGTTGATGTTTAAAATACACTACAAAATCTCTCCAATTCCCTTTAATTCCTCTTTTCCAAATTCTCTAAATTCTAATTCTAATTGAATACACTCGGACTTATAAGGATTTTAATAAACTATCTTAAAATCCTGATTGAATACATATTAAATTTCAGATAATCACTTAAAATTCTGATTGAATACCCCTAGATTTATTAAAAGAATTAAAATCCCTCAAAATCTCAATTGAATACACTTTGGTTACAAGGTTTATTAAGTAATCCCCATCTAATTGTACTTATCTTCATGGATTATTAAGTAATCCCCATCTAATTGACTAGATAGTTATAATATAAGAATATGATTCCTTACGTTATTAGTAGGACCTTATCCTCTTTCAGTCTTTTTCTAAACATAAAAGAGTATAATTTAACTTTTTAGCAATTCTAATTTGTAGATCCGTGGAGGATATTTTTTAGTAAAAAAATCCTATTCATAGTGTTTAAATATTGATTTAAATGGAATATGCCAGCATACAATGTTGATTCTGTATCAACTTGAATGGAGCACTGCTCAAGCAAATTTACCTAAATTTAAGTCTATAAACACTTAAACTATCATATGGTGGCCCAGAGGTTGGAGACGAATTTCAAGTTCATATTCTGCATTGCATGTCCAAAGTTCGATTTCTGGTATTGATAAATCACACGATAGTAGCCAAAGGAGACTGAATGCCTCTATGAGTATTTCCAGACCAAAAGTTGAGTCATTCAAAATATAAAGAAAAGGAGGGAAAATGATCATCGCCGGATCCTTTTCTTAGGGATTATAAAGGTCTCGCGATCGTAACCGTTCATCGTACATAGTGCGGTCAATTTTTGTTAAGTATTATTTATATTCTAACTACACGGTGTACGATAAACGATCACGATGGTGAGATTCTTAAGATCGGATTCTTTTTCCAAAAAGAGAACCCAAATTGAGAGAGTGAATACAATGCGCGTAAGTCAACGTTTGGACTGTTTATTAGAGCTGCTGGAGCATCCAATCCTCTCCCAAAGGACTTTTTAAAACCCTTTTTTTGCCTACTTTTTGTTAGGCATCGGTTCTTTGTTAGCAGCCTGCTTTAACATATTAAACCGCACGCTCCAGACATCCCATCCCACACGCTTTTGCTTCTGTTGTGCTGTTGTATCTCGGTTCGGAAACTCCAACGAACCAGCCGAGTCAGGCATAAATCGCCCCGCCAACCTCCCCCCCCCTCACTCACCGACGGCAGAGCGAGTCAGAGCGAATCCCAAACTCTGACTCACTTCTCTGCGCCAGCAAGAGCATTCAATCCTTGTTCTACGCTACTCATCGAAAAATGAGTACAGTCGTGCAGGTAATTCAATCTGTGTAATTCATCAAACCGCGTTCGTTTTTGTTTTGATCTGGATTTGTTTTAGCTTGATTATGATGATGCTTTCGTTGATTAGGGTTTCACCAAGTCACTTGCCATGACTGTGCTCTCGGAGATCGGCGACAAGACCTTCTTCGCCGCCGCGGTTAGTTTACACGATTGCAATTTTGTTTCTTTTTACCTTTTGGTTGTTTTTGAATTGTGGAAATTGGAATTACAACCTAATTACACGCGATGAAGAAAAGAGACGATTCGAAAAGAATTTCGGCATGTTAAAGTTTATGGATTCAATACTATTAAGAACATCGAGTTTCTGCTGAATTTTTTAGTATATGTATGATTTTTCAGAGGACGTACTAAAATTTAAATGCTTTCGGTAGCAACTTATCGAGCATCATATGGTGTATATGTATGTTTTCGTATATGCATATATAAATATACTTGTGCCCGAGTTCCCTATGCGAAGTCCCTTGGGTACGAAGCGAAACCCATGAGGGCCAGAACCACATCCGAAATCCATATTCTTGTATCTGTATACTATTTTTTTGAGTAGTAATCTAACGGTGTGATGTTTTTGCTATAAGATCCTTGCGATGCGCCATCCTAGAAGACTTGTTTTGGCCGGTTGCCTAGGAGCTCTGATTGTAAGCATTTCCCTCCCACTTTCATATAGGTGGTGTACTCCGTTGTATAGATCTTGCATGTTTCTTGTTTGAGGTCTCACATATATCTCAAATTTTTGTTGAGTTTTAGGTGATGACTATTCTTTCTGTTCTTGTCGGCTTGGCTGCTCCAAATCTGGTAAGCACTCTGATTCTGCCACCCTGAAATTGATTTTCGTGGGGCTTGTTTTAAGATCTAAGGGAATTTACTTTCGTGATATAAGGGTTACTGGTTGTCCCACTTAGAGCATCGCTTAACGTTGACCAGTTGACATATTTATATAATGTTAGCTTAATTTGGTGATGTTTTTCTGTTCTAATATGAATACTGAATGCTGATCTTGAATTACAGCTCTCCCGGAAATGGTCCCATCACATAACAACAGTGTTGTTCTTTGGTTTTGGACTATGGTCCTTGTGGGACGCTTTTAAAGAAGATGGGTAATGGGTTTTTTTTTTTTTTTTTTTTTTTTTTTTGTAATTTATTTAACCTTTTTCTATTTGTTGGGGAATTTAATTCTGGTTACCCTACAGGGGTGATGATGAGCTTGCAGAAGTTGAAGCAGAATTGGTTTGTTTCTCAATTTTTATTCCTAGCTTGCATTCAATTCAAATCCTTTCTGACTTCACCCTTTTGGTGCCATTAGGATGCTGATCTAAAGGCTAACGCAGGAGGCAGCAAACGTACTAAGGTGCTCCTCACACACACTCTTTCTACCATGTGCAATTTTGAGCTACAGTTTTATGAACGTTTATTACTTTTCAGGATGATGATGACAAGAAGCAGAGACGCTCATTTCTCTTGCAGTTCTTCTCACCGATCTTTTTGAAGGTTTTTATCTTATATGGATTATGAAATTCAAATTTTTGCATGGCTATAACTTAACCGCATCTATCATGCTCATGCCACAGGCCTTTTCCATTACTTTTTTCGGTGAATGGGGCGACAAGAGCCAGGTGAGCATTTGGCCCATTGAATATATAATCTCATTCATTATTGCTTCAACACGATTTTGTTTTGACCTGCTACTCTTTCAGCTAGCGACCATCGGTCTGGCTGCAGATGAGAACCCATTAGGCGTGGTTCTTGGTGGAATCTTGTAAGTTTCCATCCTTTATAACCTGAACGGCTTCTGGATCTTGTAGTCACCTTGCATGCTCATTCTTCTAATTCACTTTTATCCTTTGTAGTTATTCCTTTTATTTTTATTTCTGCCCAATTTACTGATTGTGCTTCCTCTTTTTCTCAGAGGACAGGCATTATGTACGACTGCCGCTGTCCTTGGTGGAAAGAGCTTGGCATCTCAGATATCGGAGAAAATAGTAATATACGCCCTGCCTTTGTGCTTAACATAATATAGTTCTCGTTTTTATATATTGTGCCCGTTGGCTGGAGTCAAATATGTGGCATCAAAGTTGTAAGTTATAATTGCTTTGTTTCAGGTTGGTTTATCGGGTGGAGTTCTTTTCATTGTTTTCGGAATCCAATCCTTCCTTTCGACAGTGGAGGCATGATACCCAGAGTCTGATTAATGATTAGTAAGTATGTTGACTACATTTCGCACCATGTATTATAATTCATAGCAAATGCATGGAATCATCGTCAAAATTTCACAACGAGAAGAATACGATACCTGTTCTAGAATATGTTTTTGATGACGACTCTTCTTCAGGGACTGAAAGATGATTTGTTGACTAAAAAACATACATCTACTCACTGCAAGGAGTAATTTACAAGCATTGATTGTTATCATAGCGACGAGCATATCAGAAAAAGAACTGAGTCGAAGAATTGCATTGTTTTACAAGTCTGTACCAATATTGCACTCTGGCATGTTTGGAATTGCCGATGAGAACACTTCTGCTATACTCTGTTGTTGCATGCCATTCCAATTAAATCTATGTTTCCGTTGGTCTCGATATATTTATAAGAAAAACTAATGAAAATGGTTTGAAAACTGAGTTTTAACGATAAGGACAAAATAAAAGGTAAAGTGAATAATACCACGATTGATTTTTTAATGTAAAAATGTGGTTTTTCGTTAAAATGAATAGTATCGGAAGTTTTTCGTTAAAGTTTCCTAATATTTATATTATGAATGGAAATACTCCTAGTTTTAATTCATTTCGATGAATTGTAATTGGACAGGAGTACTCAGGATGATGAAATTGATCAAAATTTCAGAAACAAGGACGTACGCAAAAGATTTTGCGTTGGAAGCACTTGAAGGCGCCTTTGGTTGTCTGAAAGTGCTTTTGACCTTCACATAAGCAAATCCCAAACCAACCCTAAGTTGTTTAAATGTAAAGGAGCAAATTAGGGAAGCACCATCCATATAAGGTAACACAGAGTTCAGCAGACCACTGTAACTCAGAAGATAAACAGTGCAATCGCAAAACACTAAAATTAAGCCTTTTTTTTTTTTATTAAGCTACCACCCTCTTGTCTTAATTTGACCACAGGATGACCGCGATTTCATATCAGTCGGGGTATTGGGGTTATGTACACCATCTAATGCTCGGGTATTCGTCACACCAATTGGATTCTCATCACGCACGTCGTTAGCATCCGTCACCTGCAGGTTCAATTGAACTCAGAAGTCCATTGTGTCTCAGTTGCATGCAGTGTTCTTCAGCGTCGGCCTGAGCACATATGATCACTACCGACAAGCCATTGTGGTGTGCTTCTTGCATAATATTCACAGCATTGTCAAGGGTCATCCCCGGGATAACCTTCATCAGTACTTGCACAACATATTCCCGTTTGTTGAAGTTGTCGTTGTGCAGTATTACACGATAAGGAGGAGCTGTCTTCCTTGATTTCCTGAACAATTTTGGGCAGTCTAACGTTAACTCTCATCTAATTTTACAAAGGAGAAACCATGAACTCAAAGGAAAACCGCAAGTACCAAATACAACCGGAACCAGGTGAATGTGAAAGGATCATAAGTTTTAATAGTTTGTCGAAATGATCAAGTTTGATGCAACATGATACGCACAGGTACGACATTGGATAGGAGTGGTGCAAACCCATTTTGTGGCATTATGTTAAACAAAGCACTCGTATGGTGTAGCGATATAACTTTGTGTTTCCATACCTCAAATCAAACTCAGAATCACGGGCAGGAGCTGCTTTCTCTCTAACTGGCCTTTCCAATAGTCCTCCCCCTTTACCAGGTACTGCTGTTGATACAGCCACCGGAATGCTAAGATTGGTGCATGCTCCTTTACAAAGGGGGTGTCTGTCTCCTGCTCAACACGTTTTATAATAAAAACTCACCAATTGGAATCACTCGGGCATATATATGTTAAACAATAAAGAAACACCATAGAAACACACTATTCATACCAACAAATTTTTTTTTTGAGACAAAACATTTAGCAACAGAAAGCGAAAATTCAGAGGATAGCATAATCTAGATTCTAGAACCACCACAACATCTACATGTCTACGAATCTCCGGGTTCTGAAAACCCAAATCTTTAGAATTGGCTCTCTGATTGCCCTGGTGTAGATACTAGAGATGCTGGATCTTTAGGACTGCACAAAAATCCTTGCAACCCTTTTAAGGAAACCAACATGTAGATGGCATTAGCATAAATGCATCCGGAGGCAGTGGCAAGTAATCCAGAAGTTGCTGCTCGCATTACTCGATCTTACATTAGCGAAAATGGAAACTCCACCACTCCCAAAACAGAACGCATGGGAAACCCGCCCAAGTTTAGACACAAGTACACAAAGAACTAACTTGCATTGCACTCCCCAATCTGCCCTACCTACATCTTGCAAGATACTGGACAATTTGATATAAATTTTGTTCTAACCGAAAAAGCTTTCGATTTTCGAAAAACTTTTTTGTTTACAAAACTTTTAATTCATCAAACAATACAAATGTACACTTACACATACAATTCAAGCAATTACATAATCCTTCGGCAGCATCAACAGAACTATTTGGGAACCACGTATACAGCTATATAACAATATGGGGTTTTTCTTGGCACTTCATGTTCTGTGAAAGAAGTACAGCACTCTTCCATTTACACAGGAAAAAGAGACCCATCAGAGAGAATCAATTTTCGAGGCGTATTATACATTAAATTCCATAACTTCAATAAAAAAACAACAAAATCGCTAAAAATTTACAGGAACCAAGCTTTGAATTGAAAAATCCAATAAAATCTACTCCTAATAGTAAAGATGCTGAAGAAATCAAAGATTTTGACGGAAACCCAAAATTTGAAAAGAGGGAAGGAATTGAGAAAAATGGAGTAAACCTGGTTTGGGGTTGAAGACGTGGTTCGGGGAGAGAGGGATTCTCCCACAAATCGCAGTCTCCATTAATCTTTCTTTTGTCTTGCGCTGTGCTGCTGCTGCTGCACTGCGCCGTGCGATCTTATTTATTTACTGGATTTTCTGGTTGTGTTTTTAACCGACACAACAAGAAAATGATCGATGAATTGGTGCAGCGCTGTGCTGTTTCTGGTGGGACTTTGCTGGTTTTTCCAATTCACTGAACGTCGTCGTCTAGACCCTACCAAGTACGAAATTTTTATGAGTGATTACTTAATTATCTTAAATTTATATTCTTTTTGTCAAATTATAAATCCAATTTCTTCACCAAATAAATAAATAAATTTAATTTTAAATCAAAATTTTAAATGTGATGGGTGACCACAAGAAAAATCACAAGCTACTGATTTGGATGTGTCTATTTATTTAATTAGAGACATGACATATAACTGTTTCCACTAAATGAGATGGACAATGCAACTACAATTTAGTCATTAGTGTGAATTGATTTGAAATTTTTGAGACTTGAAGGTGGAATATCCAATCCGCTTTGATTATTTGAATAAAAATATTATTTAAGCCTCGCTAGTAATAATGTAGTTTGAATTCGTTTTTAACAAGAATTGAATATATAGTCTCTCGCTCACTTATGAATTAAAGCCTCGCTAACGAGTGATAATGTACTACATTTTATTGACTTGTTAGATTTCCCTTTTTCAAGAATAATAATACCCTAATATTGACAAAAGGCCTCATATTGGCCTTATCACATCCCAGACTGGCTCTACCGTAGCACGATATTGTCCGCTTTGGGCCCTGGCCACACCCTCACGGTTTTGTTTTTGGAAACTCACACGAGAACTTCCCAGTAGGTCACCCTTGGGAATGCTCTCTCGCCCAAACTCGCTTAACTTCGGAGTTCCAATGGAATCCAAAGCTAGTGAGTCCCTAAAATGCCTCGTGTTATAGATAGGAGAGCATGTACATATAAGACACATCACCCCTCTCTATTGGTCGATGTGAGATTTTACAGGCCTACTTTAGCTAAAAAATAAAAAAGTAAAAGCCCAATTTGACCCACAAAAAAAAAAAAAACCCTCAATACACTTTTGATTTTGTTTTGTCAGAATCCATTGTGATTCTTGACCATTAAATCCAACTTATAATTCATTATTCTTTGCATATATAACGAAACATACTAGAATTTCCGCAATTTTATACTAAATTGTTGCCAGCGTTTGTTTATTTTCTTCTATTTTGGAGTGGCTTTTGTGAAGAACTACTTTTGAATTTCTCTAGAGGACACTGAATTAGGGGTGGGCAAACGGGTACTAGACTCGCTGGGCGGGGCGGGTACATGCAATTCGGGGAAGGTACGGGGTGGGTTCAAGAAATTTACGGGACGGGACGGGTCCAAAAGGCCCAAGAAACAGGGCCCTGACCGGACCCGTTTCTCCCAAGCCCACTTAATTTTCCGGTCCAAAAGTCCAAGTACTGCGTTGGTTTTGTGTAGTACACTAGTACTTGTACTACATTTCACTTACTTTTTTTTCACTCTTTCTTTATTTATTTCTGTTTTATTTTTTTCACTGATTTCACTTTTTTTTTTTTTTTTTTCACTCAGACCCTCTTCTTCTCTATCCCAAGAGACCCACGATCCCCAAACTCCATTAAGGACAAGAATGAGGACTTAATCGAGAGACTGCCATCCAGTGGTTGGGCAACAACCAGTTGTCGGATGCCAATCAGTTCGAAGACAAGATGGAGTTGGAGAGCATCTGCAACCCAAGCACAAGGTGAAATTATTTAGGTTTTGTGAACTTGAAATTTTATGTTTTATCTAGGACTTGAAATTATAGATCAATGCCTCTTTTTTTTTTTTCTTTTTTTTTCCCCCTATTTGCAGAACCTTTTGGTCGATGAATAGGAAGAGGAAATTACAAGGGAATTGATTGAAATTGCTTAGATTCAGAAACCCTAAGGTATTCCCTTTCTTTTATTCTTTGAATTCATAGCCGATGAGAAGGCAAATAGGATTTGTGGGTTTGTATGAAAGAGTTATGTGAGAACCCTAATTTAATCCCTAATTTGCCTTGAGAGTGCAGATCTTGCAGTGGTTGTTTTGATGGAACCGCCGATAATGATATTGTTCGAAGAAGCGAATCTTCAAATGAGGAGAACGAAGAGGAAGAGGAAAGACCACCAAACTTGAGGCGTGAGTGAAAGATTTGCACCCGTGGGGACCCGTAGGAACCGGCCCGTTTCAAAAGGGCCGGGTTAGGTCCGGATCCTATTTTGAAATCCAAAACCTGCCCCGCCCCACCCTGTTGTATTTACAAACGGGTCCGGTCCGGTTTCTTCAATTTTGGGCCCGGCCCAGCCCGTGCCCACCCCTACACTAAATACTTCTTTTCCCACCATTTATGGATTATAAAAAGGGAAGTGTTATTGACACTCCAAAAATCTCATTCTACACTTCTCACAAGTGTATTTTTCTTTCCTAATATAAAAAGTTTGGAGTGTAGAATGAGATTTTTAGAATACTAATAACAATTCCCTATAATAAAAAAGCAAATGGACAGCCATTTCTAACATTACAAACCAGAAAACAAAGGAAAATGATGCACGGTTTGCTTTGGTAGCTTGATTAATTCTTGAAGGAAGGAGGATAACAGAACATTATTTGATATTAGTCCTTACTAGTTAATCCGTAACTTGGATAATACATAATTTTCGTCCGATTAGTGGCGTAATAATCCGCTTATATATCCTTAATTACGTGTAAAACCGATATGTTGATGCATCAGCAATGATATTACGAAAACCACCAACTGTGGAAGCCAACATGATGAACACTCCAATGAATATGCAAGCCTGCAAACACAGTCATCATAAGACATGGATATATTGCTAACTGGTTATGTACCGATGTCGATAATCAATCGTATATATATGCCATATCGACAATAAGTAACATTAGATTCTTTGGCTTACCCAGTTGACGAGCCATTGGATGCTGAATCTCTTTGGTTTCTTAATTCTCAGCCACATTATACAAGGAAGCTGTGGAAAAATGCTCAATTAGTTAGTTAATTTCTTGCTGAGGATGTAGTTTTGTAATTTCTGCAATAAGAAATTAAGAAAATAAAAGTGAGAGAGGCTTACAAAGTATGAAGTGGGGGCAAAACCAAATCCACCAAAGAAACCAAGAAGGTCTCCAAAGAAAGGGAAGGTGACTCCAATAAATAATGTAAATGCTGCAACATAGATATAGTAATTAAGGACTTAATTAATTAGGGTTTAATCAACCAGAAATGACACAGAGACGCAGACTTATGGGAAATGGTAATCTCACCAACATAAGCTGATCTCGTGATTACTCTAAGTGCAATTCCAGGTGGGAAGTTTACTTTTTTCATCATCATCCTCTCAAGCATGTCAAAAACAGGCATAGCATAAACCTGCACGTTTTTCAGTCACATCCTTAATTAGTGTAGTTCTACTAAACCCTAAGTTATTAGAAATCACTTATAGCCCTTCTAAAAGTAGTGCCAAACAGACCAGCTAGAAGTTTTTATATGGATTTATAAAAGTGATGCCGGAGAGGTTCTCTTGTGCAGTTAATTAAGATTTAGTTTTAATGGTGCAATCGTCCAACAAATGTTTACCACGTGTTAAAAATTTGCCCAATCCATTCAATAAACGATTGACATATGGTAAGTATTAATGACATGAGAAAATGATGAGAATCTCTCGTGGTGTTGAATGCGAATGCTGACTCGGCAGTTATACCTGGTAGCTGCCAATGACATGGACGACAACCATTAGGTTAGCAGCAGCAATGAGCCATGCAGGTTTCTTAAGATCCATGAGCACGTTATCATCGACATCTTGACCAAAAGCCCAGTACCCGATCAGGGCCACCGGGAAATAGCAAATTGCGTTGATAAAGTAGGCTCCCAGGGCACCTTTCCACATGGGAATTCTCGACGGCTTCTCGGGAGTCGATGGAATTGTGGCCTGGATTTCAAGCGTCACTGCATGCCCGGCAAATGCAAAAGAGATTTGACCTAATGCATTGAAAACCCTAAACATGTAATCTGCAGGGCTTGTTTTCTTGTACGCGTAGCTCACGTTTTCAATCCGACCTTTGCTTAAGCAACCTGCCCAGGCTATAGTTGAATAACTGCAAATTAACAACAAATTCAAGTTTTTTAGGTAAGTTTTTTATTTTTTTTGAAATTAGCCTTCTAAAGTTCTCTTGCTAGGTTTAAGAGTAAGTCTTCGGTAGGACTGCCCTACATTGGTGGGCAGGACTGCCCTACATTGGTGGGCAGGACTGCCCTACTTTGGAGTTGGGTGAGATCAAATTACAACGGTCTCATGTTTTTGTGAGATATATGTTTTATGAATGACATGGTCGGACATCCCCAACCAAGTTTTTCTAGAATTTTAGAAGGGAAATATGCACAAATATTTTAGGAAAAAAAATTGTGTAAGGTCACTTTATTATCTATTTCGTGACCCTCTACTTCTAATTTTGCTTAAAAATTTGTAACCGATTCTATTTATCCATGTCTCATTTTGGGTTGATTGCTCTAATTGATGCTCTAGAACAAAACTATACCGAACTTTGACTTGAGTTTGTGTAGGGTATGTAAAAAGGAAATTGACTTGCTCACCCCTCCTTTTTTAACCGTTAGATTGATCAAACCAAAACAATATTATCAAATATAGCCAAAAACTAACCCTTAATTTCAAAAATGTCATTTTTTATAAAATCTTTCAAATGTATCCAAAATTCCACTTAAATAGATATAAATACCCTCAAATTTAACAATCACATAAATTAAAGGTTTTTTTAGCTAGAATGATTCGTGACATTGACATAACTTCTTAATCTGGTCTTTAACAATTAATGATAATCAATAGTAGTATTCTTGAATTTGTTATCATGAATCATTTTTGTCTTTCTTTGAATTTGTCCAATCGTGATCATTTTAGTTTTTTTTGTGAAAAATCTATCAATTGCTCTGTTAGTGTGATGATGTGGCACCATGTGGGTTTCACAAATATAATCATATAACGACATGTGGATTAACTTTAAAAACTATTTTTTTATATTTAAAACTAAAAATGATATTAGTAAGAAAAAAGGCGTTGAAGGCATGATTGAAATTCTACTACTCCCGCTTGCGGTAAGCGCAGTGGCGCTCAATGTTGGTGATGAGGGGGTCGAAAGAGATAGGGTTGTTGTGGTGGAGTGTAGAAGCGAAGGTGAAATTGGACTGAAGCTTAAGGCAACAGTAGCTAAAAAGCCTTTAATTTATTTAATTGTTAAATTTGTGAGTATTTGTGTCTATTTAAATGAAAATTTGGATATATTTGAAATTTTTTATAAAAAGTGACATTTTTAAAATTAAGAGTTAATTTTTGGCTATATTTGATAAATACTCATTTGCTATGTCACAAAGTTCCATTCTGTTTTGGCTTTTAACAGATTTTGTTTGCCTAAAGCAAACTTAAATCAGATTTTCCTTCACATGGAAAGTGAAAAATTAGAGTGAAAATTAAAATTACTACCTTAGCGACATGATGGCTGCTGCTAGAGAAACACCGGCAACAGAGTTGAAATTGGGGAGCTGGGAAAGAAAGAAATGAAGGGAACCAAAGATGAGAATCCAGTACGATTGCTTGACTGGTGTGCAATTGGCACATGCCAGCTCCACAAACTTCTTCAGACACTTTCCTCCGGTGACCATGTACACTATGTCACATCCAACCTGCACAATCAGTTGTTGCGGAAGCACAATCCACGGCCCGAGCTTTGGTCCAAAGGCATGCCGCCCGAGGTCTATATATCGGTCGAATCGAGTTCCCGGAACACATTCATGGAGCTGAATCATCTGCCACATTGTGTTCAAGGTCATGCACCATGATATTGCCAGCACCATTGTCCCTGGACCCCTGAAAGAAATAGTTGGTAAAAGAATAGGGTTTAGCGTGTAAGTATACAAAGCAGTGTATTTTCTTTTTGTCGAAACAAAGCAGTGTATTTGGTTTAGGTAAGTTGGATTGTTCTGTACCATCCTAAGTATGCCATGGCATAAGGCAGGCTGAGTACACCGGCACCGATCATGGCGGTGACGGTGTGAAAGGTGGAGTACCACCATTTGGCTCGGCGGGCGTTGTCCACTGGCTCCTCCCTCCATTTGTCGTCCGAAACAACTTCCTGCCATAGTTTCAAGCATCGACATGAAAAAATTTAGAAAATATATTACAGTGAAGATCGCAAAAATTGGAAGACCAGATAGCTTTGTGTGAGTAAAGAGTGTGGTGATGCGCACCTTTGGAGAAGTTGTAGCCATTTTGTTTCTCTCTTTCTGCAGTGAAGACAGAAACACTTTCAATGTGGGAGTTGAGTGATCGTCATCGTGTTGTGTGTATGTAGTGGTTTGATGGCCCAAAATATGGAATGAGGAGAGGCTTTTCAATGTGACCGTCACACGAGATGTTACACCACGTGTCTTTATATAAATAGTAGGACATGTGTGTTAAAAGTTTAATAACTTAAAAATTAAAATTTTTCACCACTTACATAGAAACACGTACTACTATCCGTGTTCCCATCACAACAAAAAATTTCTTTGGAATGAAAATCCTCTCCGGATCCTCTTTGTGAGGATCTCTGGATCTTCCAATCATATCCGTTCATTGTACATCATGCAATCAGTTTTTATCAGGTACGGTTTATATTTAATTTTAAATAAAAAGATTTACAATGATTTTTGATTGCACAATATACAATGAATGAATATAATTAAAGGATCTTGATCATAAAGAGGATCCGGAGAGGATCCTCACAAAGTTAATCGGAAAGGATCCTCATTCCAAAATATGTGAAGAAATGTGGAATATGTACATTTGTGAGCCCCACTTATCTTTTGCTTTTCCCGCAGAGACTTGTGCTTTTCCAAGAGTGCTTATCGGATGAGTTGAGCAAAGCAAATCATATAGGCAAAAGCGGTAAATATTTTAGGTTGAGATAACAAACCGTCTTGTGTATACTTGGCAAAATATGTTAAAGTTAAACCGTCTACTTAAAATTTTATAAAGTGACGCAAGCTAATATTGCAAACAGGATTTTACGAGACCTCACATTTGTCATATTCTGTGAGTGGAGATATATCTCGATTGAACACTTTCATTATGTCAGTTTTTGAACATGTGAAATCAACGTAGTATCAGATGAAACTTAATATAAGAAATTCTTTGTGAGATGACTCTAAGGACGACGTGATTGGTGTAATCCTACTCAAGTTTATCTTTATCATTTTATGCATGAATCTAAATATGAAAAATCAGTTCTTTAAAACGAGTGGAAACAAATTTTACTCTCATTTTAGCTGAGATAATTAAAATTGTGATTGCATTCACTCCACCCACTTTGATGTTATATACAGAAGGAATCTAAGGACCCCATGTTGACAAGCATTATTTCTTTATGCTCCCTTGTCAAATTTTCTCTACAGAAAAAGGCCCTTGTATGCAATTATTTATTTCTACCCCAAGTGTTGAACCAATGATTACTATCACTACACTTAATGCTAAATACAATCGTTTAGACAATTATCGAGTTGGTGGGTGAATGTAGCCACCTCAAATTTCAATCACTACTTTTTAGTCAAGATAGTTTCTGAAATTGTCATAACTCTACATTTTGGTTCATGAGATTTAAAATCGATAAAACTGATCTCTGAGATTGTCCATTGTCAATCACTTTGGTCTTTATGTGAAAAATCTCCTATAATTGAAGAAACCACTAGTTCAATGGAGGGATTGATTTGACAAAAATACCCTCAATTTAACAAAAATTTCTCATAGAATAACCAAAATGATTGATAATGAATGCTCTCAGGAATCACTTCTATCGATTTTAAATCTCAAAGACCAAAAACCAAAATGATGAGTTATGTCAATCTCAAATATATTTTTTTTTTGATAAAAAGCCCACTTGATACTTAAATACTTAATAACATTGGCTTTATAAAGAGGGAATAGTAATGATTAAAGGCCAAGGGAAGGGAAGGGATGCTCTTCATCATTCATGTATGGGAGTTGTTGGCGTGGGAGTCGTCTTCTTTCTTGCTTTCGAGTGTCCCCAGTCACTTAGCAATTTGCATGCCCAAAAGCCAAAAGTGATCGACTGCCAGGCACTGCTGACCACAAAATGAAAGGTTAACTAGTATGGTATCTTGTTTAATTGATCTTACGCTAAATCAACGTTATCTTTATATAACAGAGAAATCGAGATACGATACTCATAGATTTTACGATGGTTTTTGTAGAATTTTGTAAAACCGATTAAAATACTGCCTCTTAATAGAGCAAATGAACGAGGAGAGTTTATAACAGAAGTTGCAAAGACTCCTCTGTGCGTTGGTTAGGATCGTTTTCTGAGTAATAAGCAAAACAAAAATCTTAACGCTCGAGGGACACTAAAAGACTAGATGAAACTCCAAGCAGAATCCTCATCTGAGCACTTAATCATAAGCAAATTTAACAGTAGAACCTCCATTAGAAGAACCCAGATGCAGGTATCACTTACCAGGTATATTCCTTTCCAAATCAGCCGGGTTACTAATAATCCTCAGTTTTGATAAACCAAATATTCAGGATCCTTCTCCACGTCAGCAATCCATGGTAAAGGACTCTCCAAGTCAGCAATCTCAACACCAACATTTTGAATTAATCAACTCGCCGTCATCAAGTCAGCTACACAAGTTGGATACCTCTTCAAACTCTTCAACAGATAGAAAGGAATCACAATCCTTCCTTATCTAAAACTCCTGTGTAACTTAGTTTTGAATTTCAAATGTAATCAACTAATATGTTTATACTGTAACCTTATCTTGTAATCTATATATAATGAAGTCCATACCTCACTCATAATCAATTGAGTTGAGCTTATGCAATCAATATTTACTGTTGGAAAATAGTTATTTATTTACACTATGTTTGGATGAAGAAATTTAAGATTACCAAAAAATTTTAAAATGATGGAAATTGAATTGATAGGATTTTATTTTCTAGAATTTGTGAATTTTCTTGTTTAGTTAGCCTAAAAGAACAATGGAATTGAATACGGAATTTGTTATACTTAAGCTCTCTCAATCATAGAAATTAGAAAATGACACCTATGTACATGAAATTTAAACTTGGGAATTGGAGGTCTCAAATTCCAAGTTTTTTTTTTCACGCGGAAATTCTAAATTTCTATGTATATGAATCCAAATAAGAGAATTCGTGCATATCAATTTACAAATTCTAATTTTTATCTAAATTTCAAGTTTATTTTCTTCATCCAAATGTAGTGTTATTGTTTAGATTTGGGCTTAAGCTCATTAGAATTAGGTTTTCGTTTCCTTGCTTATTAGGGACTAGGGTTAGTTTATTATAAATAGAGAACTTTGTTATTCAGAGATAATAAGTCAGTCAAGATGTAGTCTCTTCGGTTCATGTTGCCTTCTTGGCAATTTCATTTAATAAAGTTTTATATTCAGTTAGTTCGTTTGTTTGTTGCGTACTCTGATATTCAACTTTTCCAACCCTAGCTTAAATTCTTTCAAGTACATCATCGGCTTGAAGAACCTACAAAAGCATCACAAATTTCTATCCAACGAGTAAAGTAAGCTAAGCTACGGTTTCATAAATTTCATTTAAAAAGATAGGCTTCAGAAACTGATAACTAAAATTCCAATCATTAGGGGTTCACTGGTTGATAGTAAAGTTATTCATATGCTAGTCCCGGAGTGTTTTTAACAAGTTGAGGCTCTTATTTAACCCATAAAACCCTCTCCAGGCATATTAGGACCTTGTGACAAAACTTGTCCCCGTGGAACTAACTGCAACCGGCCTTGACATAAGCTCGGCCATCCCCGTCCCAACCAACTGTTGTTGTTGGTGCTGCTGCTGCAATTGCTGAAGTTGCGGCAGTTGCTGTTGTGATTGAAGTTGTGAGAGCTGCTGCTGTTGTTGAATCTGAGGGTGCTGCTCTTGAATCTGTGGATGTCTCCGAGGATGCTGTTGCTGCTGACCGGGTACTTGCATGTGGTGGTGTTGTTGACCGCCTACTTGAATTTGTTGCATTTGCTGCTGCTGTTGTTGACCGCCTACTTGTGGCTTAAACACAACCATATCCTGAACCAAAGGTAGACTTTGCTTCAACAAAAACCAGGTTGTAAGAGAGTTACAATGCCGAGTCACAACCTCATTTGGAGTACCGCCACAGGCCTCGAGTTCAGAAAAAAATTTAAACAGAAGGTGCAGGGTATGCAGGGAGCCTTCAGAATTAAAAGCACCTTGTACAGGCTAGAAAGCACTTTAATCGACCCCACAAAATCTTTGAAAAATACAAGGTCCATATTGCAGGTTTCTTTTAGCACTGAAGGTACCTCACATATTTGTTGTGGATTTACGAGCTAATAGTTGGCGGCCATAAATACTTAATATTGAAAAAAAACTAATGATAAGAAATTACAATCCGCAGTAAAAGAAAGACCCAAGTCAATAACAAGCTCACCCCTGGAAACAGCATTCCAATCAAGCGGTATGCTTTGTCTGAAACGGAGAATAGTAGTGTCTGAGAGGGCAATTGGATCACTGCACACTGAAAAAAGTGGGAAATCAGCTTTTTGAGGAGAAGAAAAATAGCAGAATAGTTCTCGGTTTCATGTGTACATTCGAAGGAAATCTACTGCAGAAGGTCAAATAAATTAGAAAAACTAGCTTTCGATGCTGAAGTCTCACAAGGATGATACTAGAATCAAGAATTACCCCACTTCAAGCCAAGAGAGCCACTTAAATGCATAAATTTAGTTTATCACAGCACTCAGAGGTAATTCAGTTTAAACAGATAATTAACCAAGTTCATATGAGAATGTCACACAGAGTCTGAGGAAGTACTCTGCTAGATCAGAATTTACAGATAATCAAGTGGTAATCCAAGATGCTATATATATATATTTTGTACAAATATTACACATCCACAAATGATAATCAAGTGATAATCAAGTGATAATCCAAGATGCTATATAATCAAGTGATAATCAAGTGGTAATCCACAAATGTCACACAGAGCCTTAGATCAATCGCACATCCACAAATAACACCTTACGGAGATCGAATCAGATGATCAATTTTCAGAGAGATTGTAACCTCAAAATCATTAATACAAATATTATTTTGTACATGTGTTCTTGTCTCGTTTGTTTCAGGAATATTTCGTGTTTACAACAACACTCGTTTATAAAAGACGAAAAACTGACGTTACTGACGAGCGTGAGAGCGATGCACTTCTAAGAGCATTTTAAATCAGAATTCAAAGTTAGTGCGTTAAGCAAGCTCGTTTGTTGCAAGGCATCTCCCACCAATTAAAGAAAAATAAGAGCTCATTTGAATGTGCCTTTAAAATGACTGAAAGTGCTTTTGGTGAAAATCTTTTTGGGAACAATCCTTAGTAAAAATATTAATAAATCCTAAAAAAACACTTAAAGTGCTTCCTAGAAGAAGCACGTAACTAGTGCTTCTTGTAGAAAGTGATAAACCAAGTCCGAATTCAAAGGTTCCCGCCACAACACTTACTGAAGATCGTAATCCGATTAGTCAAAAGGAAGGCTGAGATAAGCCTTATCTGTTGAAAGTATTTTGAATTTAAATAGGTTATTTATCATTTGTATTATCTGTAAATTTGGTTTGAAGAGTTTGTTCTTCATCCAAATACTTCTCCTTGGTTTGAAGAGTTTGTTCTTCATCCAAACACTTCTTGTAATCACTATAAAACAACATCAAATGGAATACGCTCAGATCAACAAGCACAATTCTTTTATGGTATCATCCCTTTCCAAGTCTTACGACATATTCCCTTCCCAATACAATGTCTTCTTCCGCTGCCCTCACCAATGTTTCTGCTTTTCTTCCTCTAAAACTTGATCACCATAACTATCCCTTGTGGCGTGCCCAGTTTGTTCCACTCCTTCGGAGTCGTAGTTTGATGCCTTATGTTGATGGCACTTCTCAGTGCCCTTCCGCTTTTCTCCTGGATGATGACGGTCAACATACTGACACCATCAATCCTCTCCTTGAACCTTGGATCCAGACTGACCAGATGGTTCTCTCGTGGCTCACTAGTTCCCTCTCTCCTCCTGTTATGCATGTTGTCGTCAAATGCATTAGTGCTGCCGAGGCCTGGAAGGCGTTACAGGACCGATATGCACCTTCCTCACACAATCGTGTTATTCAACTCACACAATCGTGTTATTCAACTTCGCGGGGAACTTCTCAATCTCCGCCGTGGTGATCTCAGTATTGCAGATTATTTGGATAAACTCAACACCTTGGCTGATCAGTTGGCCTTATCTGGTTCTCCCATTGCTGACGCGGACTTAATTGCCACGATCATGAATAATGTCGGCCCGCTGTATGAGAACACAGTTGCCTCAATCCAAGCCCGAGAAACTCCTATCTCGTATGCTGCTTTGGAAGCACTGCTTCTTAGTGCTGAAACTCGTCATCTTACCTTCAATTTGTCTGGCGACACTTCTGCTTTGACTGTTATGGCTGCTACTCGTGGCCGTCGAAACCCTGTTCCTGCAGGTTTTGCGCGTGGCGGAGGCCGTGGCGCTGTCCCTCCTCGTGGTGGAAATCAGACTCGGCCAAATGCTGTTGCTGCTCCTAATCCAGGACGTCCCCATGACGGTATTCTTGGTGCAGGACCCTCACCGTCTGATCGCACACCCCTTCGCTGCCAGATTTGTCGTCGTAATGGTTACTCTGCCATTGATTGTTACAACCGTATGAATACGTCTTATGAAGGTCGTGTTCCAAGTGCTCGTCTCACAGCCCTTGCTGCACAGTCTACCCCTGTACCCCAGTCTGTCTCTACTGCTCCCACAACGTGGCTTCTGGACTCTGGAGCCAACACCCATATCACCAATGATCCTGGTCAACTTACAAATGCACAGAAGTACACAGGCACAGATCAAGTCGGTGGTGTTCATGGTGGTCAAGGTTTGCACATTTCCCAAATAGGCACATCTTTTATTCACTCTCCCACTAGCTCCTATCCTCTTTCTAATACTTTATATTGTCCTGATGCCTCTCAAAATATATTATCTATCAATCAATTCTCTTCTGACAATGATTGTTTCTTTGTCCTTCATCCTAATTTCTTCCGTGTTCAGGATATCCGCTCGGGGAGGATCCTTTTCTCAGGCCGGAGTAACACTGGTGTTTATCCATATGCCAGTTTTAATTTCAATAAAAGACATGGACTATTTTTGTGCATGGGAGTCAAGGTTGATGATCGTATTTGGCACTCCAGACTCGGTCATCCATCGTCATTTATTTTAAAACATTTAGTTTCTACTAGCAAAGTGCCTCTTACTAGGCACCATTTTAATTCTGTCTGTCATTCATGCCCTTTGGGCAAAAGCAAGAAATTGCCATTTTTACCATCAAATTCTATTTCCCATTTTCCTTTACAACTTATTCATTCTGATGTGTGGACGTCCCCTACTTTGTCAATTTCTGGTTTTCGATATTATGTGATTTTCATTGATGATTTTTCGCGATATACATGGCTATATCCTTTAAAACTAAAATCTGATGTGTTCTCCACATTCATCAAATTTCAAACTGAAATGGAGAATAAATTTCAACGAACAATCCAAACTTTTCAAACGGATGGTGGAGGAGAATATATTAACAACAATTTTAAATCTTATTTAGAAAAACATGGCATTCATCCTCAATATACATGCCCTCACCATCCTGAACAAAACGGTATGGCAGAACGTAAACATCGTCATTTGGTTGAAACTGGTCTCACTATTCTTGCTCATGCGTCCATGCCACAAACCTATTGGGCTGAAGCTCTACATACTGCTAATTTTTTAATAAATCGCCTGCCAACTAAAGTTTTGAACTTAACTTCTCCATACACAAAATTATTTCACCGAGAACCATCCTATGATTTTTTTAAGGTTTTTGGGTGTGCTTGTTTTCCATACCTACGTCCATACATGTCAACAAAATTGCATTTTTGTTCTAAAAAATGTGTTCTCTTAGGTTATTCTCAAAATCAATTAGGGTATAGGTACCTTGACCCATGCACATGTCGTGTCTTCATGTCTAAACATGTTCTTTTTGATGAAAATTGTTTTCCATTTCATGCAAATCTCAGTGTTACTCCCGTACCATCCTCTCTACATGATAACCGTCCCATTACTCTTGGGACCCCTGAACTCACTTTTCCATCCCCCCCCCCAAATTCGCCACCTAATCCTACTTTATCCCATACTTCCATTACCCATTCCAACACTCTTTCAGAAACTCACATTCCCTCACCCGTCTCTATCACACACCATTTGACTCTTATTTCCTCTCCCATCCACTCACCTTTACCCTCCTCCCACCCTACCCTACTATCCCCCCCCCCCCCATTTCCACACATCCAGTAAACAATCAATTACCTTTAACGTCACTTCAACCTACCCCACTACCCCCCCCCACTTTCGACAACCCCATCAGCTCTAGCACCCCCCACTATCCATCTTATGGTTACACGTGCAAAAGATGGCATTTCTAAACCTAACCCTAAGTATGCCCATACGTCCACCATCACTGCTATGTCGGAACCTACATGCTACAGTCAAGCTAATAAATTTCAGGAATGGAGGACAGCTATGGCTGATGAATTCAATGCCCTACAACGTGCGGGCACATGGTCTTTGGTACCCTATACTCCTACCATGAATGTACTACCCAATAAATGGATCTTTCGTATTAAACGCAAGTCTGATGGGTCTATTGACAGGTTTAAGGCTCGCCTTGTGGCCAATGGTTTTCATCAACAACTAGGTCTTGATTATGGTGAAACTTTTAGTCCAGTGGTGACCCACTCAACCATTCGTCTTATTATTGCTATGGCTGTTCATTTTTCATGGCCTATCCGCCAACTGGATGTTCAGAATGCGTTTTTACATGGTTCCATATCTGATGAAGTTTACATGAAACAACCCACCGGTTTTGTTGATCCTCAATATCCCACACATGTCTGTAAATTGCGCAGATCGTTGTATGGACTTAAACAGGCCCCTAGGGCATGGTTCCAATGTTTTTCTAATCATCTGGAACACCTTGGTTTTGTGGCCTCCCAAGCAGACTCATCTCTTTTTGTGTATTGTCATGGTTTAATTCGTATTTACTTATTAATCTATGTTGATGACATACTTATCACATGCAACAACATTCAGTGTATCAACTCCTTGATCAAGGACATGTGCTCGGTTTTTTCAATGAAAGATCTTGGTCCTCTCACTTATTTTTTGGGTATGGAGATTCATCGCTCCAGTCATGGCCTTCATCTCTCACAGTCTAAATATATTTCTGATTTGCTTCAACGTACAAACATGGTGGACTGTAAACCGGTCTCCACTCCTGCAGTCAGTGGCAAAAGCCTCAACTTACCCTTACAAGACATCACCGAGTTCAGGAGTGTGGTAGGTGCGTTCCAATATCTTACTTTCACCCGCTCTGATATTGCCTTCTCTGTCAACCAGGTTTGCCAGTTCATGCATCAACCAACCACCACACACTGGATTGCTGTTAAACGCATCCTTCGTTATTTGAAGTCCACTCCCGATCATGGACTTGTGTACAAACCTGGACCTCTTACCCTCACTGCCTTTGCCGACTCTGATTATGTAGGAGACCTCGATGATCGCAAATCCACTGGCGGGTTTTGTATATTTCTTGGTCCAAACCTTGTGTCCTGGAGTTCTAAGAAACAAAAAGGAGTTCTCGCTCTAGCACAGAATCAGAATACAGACAACTTGCCATAACTGCAGCTACTATTTCATGGTTTCGTCAACTCTTTAAAGACCTGCATCTTCATCTGTCTCATCCAAAGGTGTGGTGTGATAATATTTCTGCAATCTCCCTTGCCTCTAACCCTGTTTTTCATGCACGGACCCGTCATGTGGAAGTTGACTATCATTATATCGTGAAAAGGTTACTCGTGGTGAACTTCAGGTGGGCTATGTCGCTACTCAAGATCAGGTTGCTGATTTTTTGACTAAAGGCCTGTCTACTTATCGTTTCAACTATCTTTTATCCAAGCTTCCCGTTCGCCGGCGACCGCTCAGCTTGCGGGGGTGTGATAAATCAAGTCCGAATTCAAGGGTTCCCGCCACAACACTTACTGAAGATCGTAATCCGATTAGTCAAAAGGAAGGCTGAGATAAGCCTTATCTGTTGAAAGTATTTTGAATTTAAATAGGTTATTTATCATTTGTATTATGTGTAAATTTGGTTTGAAGAGTTTGTTCTTCATCCAAATACTTCCCCTTGGTTTGAAGAGTTTGTTCTTCATCCAAATACTTCTTGTAATCACTATAAAACAACATCAAATGGAATATGCTCAGATCAACGAGCACAATTCTTTTAGAAAGCACTTAAAGTGCTTTTGAAACCCAAGAATATTTTTTCTAAAAGCGTTTTCAGTCATTTTAAAAGCACATCCAAACGAACCCTAAGAAACTTGTAAACATGGCAATTTCTACTATACATTGTACATTAAATTTGACAAAAATAAAATACATGTCAAATATCAATGTCCTTTGACATTTAAAAATAAAAAATAATAATAATAATAAAAAAAAAAAAAAGAGAGAGAGAGAGAGGACCGGGTGAAGCCCGCGTCCGGAGCCCAACCCAGATTAGACGTCGTATAAATAAATGAAAACTTGGCCGATAAGGAAACGAAACCGGTGGGCAGGTGATCTCGAAAACGACCCAGCGAAGACACAGCCCATTTGGTCTTTAATAACCAGCAGGAAACCGCCACACTCCCAACCAACCAGAAGCTGATCGCTACTAGGAATCTTTCGACAATTCGCAGTTCCGTAGGATTGGGATTTTGGATTCGACGAATACGAGAATGCTTGGGATTTTCCGAAGAGCTGTCTAAGGTTTCAGTGACTTGTCGTAGAACCCAGATACTGTCATCTGGGTTTTGTTGATTCGGCAAAGATGATGCTGCACTTTAATGACCCGGCAAAGTTGAAGACCAAGAAGGTAGCTTTTTCTTCTTTTTTGGAGAGTTTGTATTGAGCTTTTTTTCTTTTTTATTGTATGGGGGTCGTTGAATTCTGAGGTTATTGCATACCCAGCTGCTCAAATTCTCCATCTTTTCGATTTTGTGCGTAAATCCAATTGGGTTTTCTGAAGTTTTTTTGGGTTAATTAAGATAAACTTTGGCGATTAATTCATATAAGTGCATGTGTCCAATAAATTATTCATCATTGTTGCTTGTTCTTTGTGTAGTTAATGATTTTGATACTAATTTCCCAATTGTTGTGCTGTCAGATTGTGTTCGAGGAGGTTTACGCTGCTCGTGATTCCGCGACACTTGAGCAACTGAAAGAATTGAGCTCTAAGCGCAGAATGCTTGAGGAGTCCATCAATGAGAGCAGCTCCATCAATGGCGCCATTGCAAGAGAAATGTCCGGAGGGCTAACTTCTCGTAATCAACAGGTAATTTTTTGGTGTGGCGCTTGGTATTTCGAAGACGCCTTAGTTTTTACTTGCAGATTAATGCCACTTTATGAAAGTTTTGACATTGGCACTATACCCCAGTTTATAGGCAAATTCTGCCTGCATTTAGGTTCTTTAATTTCGGTATGGATGCATTTTTGTTGAATTCGTGCCATTGTTTTTAGTAATCTAATACTAGTTTAATTCCTTTCTTCAATCTGAATGTATTTCAGGTTGTGAGATAATATTATGTATTTCAGGTTGTGAGATAATATTATATGGAGAACTTTTCGTGTTTTTAGTACAAATTAATTCCTTCTGTTTGAATCTATTGAATTATGTAATCCAGTCTTTGATGGCATTTGCTGTCCTACTATGTCTCAGGTTCTTCACAACCTTGAACTGTATCTTCCCTTGTTGGAAAATTTGATTTGGCACGTTGATCGGGTCAAGAGCCACCACCAGATAGTTCGATGGACTTCAGAACTTAAGATACAATGGACTAGTGTTCTTAGTTCATCTTCTTTCTTTAACTTGAAAGGATCGAAATATTTTCAAATCAACAACTTGCAGTTTGAGTTGTGCCTGACCCTTTTCCTCTATGGCGCAATCCTTCGGGAGAGGGCATTAGAAGTTCTTCCTGCAGGTAGGGATAGGGCACTAGTGCTCTTACTTTCATTTTTCACTTTTAAGATTTGTATTTTTTTTTTCTTTTAAGACCAAGGATGTAAGATTAACTAACTGGTTTCTTCGCATTGTCATAGACCTAGTGCAATCTGCCACGCTATTCCGAGAAGCTGCTGGTGTTTTTCATCACCTTGCTCATCAAGTTATTCCTTTTCTACAACACTCATTGGTTGGGGAAAGGCCACCAGAAGTTGTCTCATCAGTGTCTGCTGCCATGAGCCTCATTTGCTTGGCCGATGCCCAGGTCAGCCTTCCTTTCCTCGCTAGTTTTCCTTGTTTAGGTTTCGTGACAGAATTGCGGATGTTTGCTTGTTCTTTGTGATAATTTATGTTCGTTATGAAAATGTAACAGGCCGTAACAATTAAAAGGGCTGAAGAGAAGGGTACTACTGTCGGTCTTTTGGCAAAGTTGCACCATGGTATTGTAGAATTGCTTGATGAAGCTGCAGGCCTTTTGCATACGGCAAAGGAATGTAAAGACACTTCTTCGGATGTTGCGGTATGTCTATATTTACAGTTTTATTCTACGATATATTCATCTCAATTTTTGGTGAAAAATCAACAATGCTTGAACGTGTTCACTCTTTCCGGTTTCTGCAGGACTTTTTATCATCCTGCAAAATGCTACACGAGTTACAAGCCCAGAAATACTTTGCGGAAACCCTAAAGCGTTCCAACCAATTCGGGGTCGCTGTTGCAGTTCTTCGATTCACACTGACTAATGTGAAAAAGAACATGCCCGGCAAAGAATCGTGGAAGTCTGTTCTCAAAGAGGAAATTGACAATTTTTCCGAATTGCTCAGAAAGCATGAACATGAAAACGAATTTGTTTGGCACGAGAAAATCCCCTCGGAGGAAATGTTGTTGCCAAAACCCGAAGGTAACAAAATCGCAAACATCATCCCTTATCAACCGAAAAAATGGGAAAGACAGCTTGCCTTCAAGATTTGAATGTACAAAGAGAAACCAGTTCTTGTAAAGTATGTCCTGTCTCAAGCGAAGCAACACAAAATTAAGATTACTGGGTTAAGATTAGTGGCTTCCTCGTTTTGCTCCCTCGGTTACACAAAACATGCAACGTTTTTGAGATTTGATCAGAGGAAGGTTTTGCTGGTTTGTTGAACTGGATGTTCTAGAACTTTTTTGTGTAATTGGTGCCTATAGCCTATAGGATTGCAACTTTTTAATGGATTTCTCCTACAAAATATATGAAACTTGTACATTATATGACGGTGTGACAGACACACTAAATGATTACTCAAACTCACGCTTCACTGCTGCTTTTGGTTTTTGGCTTCTGTTCACCGTAATTGTGAAGAAAAAAAAACTAATTTTAATGTGTTTACCAAACACTAAAAAATACCAACTTTTATAACTGTATTTTTTAGAAGCTGTACCAAAATGGTACTAAAACGAGTCATCTGGCCAGACATCGGTTAGAGATGGCCTAAGTACTTCACGCCATACTTCACGAAAGCACTTCTTTAAGCATATTTTAATAGAAAAAAATTTAAAGAGAGGATTCAAATTATATTTTAAACTAATTTAAATTGAAAATTATGCTATTTTCGGCCAATGCAAGTGCAACTAATTTGGTTTCATTCTTTGGTAATCCAATGACCCAAAATTAGAATAATAATACTAAAAAATTGCGTTTACTTAGAAATTAGAAGGAAAAAAGTAGTAATTATTAATTAAATTTCATGTTGTTGTGGGTGAGCCCGTGGCAAGTGGCGGCATAAAATCCATTTGAATTTTTTAAAGAATTTAATTTAAATTAATAATAAAGTAATCAACTTTGCGCTTCAATCGACTTCCAGGTTCTCTCTCTCTCTCTCTCTCAGACCTGAATTGTCAATTTATACATATTTTCAGGACTGGTAGGGTTGTTTCCGCTGTGGTTTCTGCGGAAAACGCAGTTCAATCGAGCTTCTCTGGCACTGATGGGTTGAAGCTCACTTATTTGGAGGTGGGTTTTCAATTTTGTTATCAGTACTTCTTAAATTTGATTAATTTTGGGTATTTTATTTTATTAAATATGTAAATAAATTTTTACTTTTAGGGGAAATAATTGGTTGTGCACTTGGTGCGATGGCAAGTGCCTTCGCCCATGAGCGGTAGGTCTCGGGTTCGAGACTTGGGAGCAGCCTCTCCATAAATGGGGGTAAGGCTAGCCGACATTCACCTCTCCCAGACCATGCGTAAAGCGGGAGCCTTGTGCACTGGGTACGACTTTTTTTTATGGAAATAATTGGTTGTGGGATGTGGGTGGGGCGAAAATATTGGTGGATCCAATTTTGGTGGGTAATTTGGATTTTGGAATCCCCTGGCTTTATGATGCTGCCAAGAAGTTTTTGAAGAATTTCCAGGTACTCCTTTAGTTCCAAATACAATTTTCTGAAGTGAATTGCCTTCGATTTTCCGTTTTAATTACGCAAATGTTGCTATTATTTTGTAGAATGTTGTGGAGTTGATAGGCCTGTTTTGATTGGGTTTGCAACTTTAGTGCAGCTAAGTGATATTCCAGAAGTTGATTGCTTGCTTATTACCCAAAGCCTTGATATCACTGCCATTTGAAGACGTTAAAGCCCCTCTCCGAGAAGTACCCGAATCTTAGAGTTATAGCTACACCAAATGCTGAGGCCTTGTTGGATCCCCTTTTCAGCAATGTAAGTATGGAACTAGTGTTTCCTTTTCTGACTGCACAAACATTTCATGCCAAAGTCATATGTTTCGTAACAACTGAAGTTACCGAATCTTAATGCCATTTGGTTCAACTTGGCTCAATTGTTTCTGAAACTTGCAATACCGGCGTTCAAGATAACTTAAGTTCAGAAGCATAATGGCGTATTCTCTATTTCTATTTGAGATTTACGCTAATGCTTTAAGGTCACGTATTTAGAACCTGGTCAGAGCTCTGTCATTGAGGCAAGAAATGGTTCTACAGTCAAAGTTCAGGCCACCGCAGGGCCAGTTCTAGGTCCTCCTTGGCAGCGCCCTGAAAATGGGTAAGGTTTTGCTTTTCGATCGCCATTGTGACAAACGTGAATTCCATTTTCAAGGGACGCTACAGCTCTTTTCTGGTGTAATATGACTTGTAGTCTATATAGTTGAGCGGATTTTAACTAGATGTTATCTTTTATATAATATGTGACCAGATATCTTGTCATCACTCCAGAAGGAAAAAGTACACTTTACTATGAACCCCATTGTGTATACAACACAAGTTCACTGGAGAGCAAAAGGGCTGACATTGTTATCACACCGGTCATAAAGCAGCTTCTGCCTTACCTTGGTCTCAGGACAAGAAGATGCACTTCAACTTGCAAAGCTGCTGAATGCCAAGTTCAAATTCTATTTACCTTAATACTAACATGTTGATGTAGATAAGGATTGTTTTATTGGACGCGTATCAACGCCTTTGTTTTACATTTTGTAGGGTCATTGTCCCGATGACAAATGGGGACTTGGATGCCAAGGGGCTTCTTCCTAGTTTAGTTTCGGCTGAAGGAACAGTCGAATCATTCAAGGTTGTTTTCTTCTTCTCATGGTATTTTTGTTGTGGTGAAGTATTAAGATTTTTTCCTGCAATATTATGACAATTGAAGATGTGGTTATATTATGCAGGAACTTTTGTCCAAGGAATTACCAGATGCACAGGTACTGCAGCCAACTCCTGGTGTCCCGTTACAAATCCCGCTACGTCCAAATCTTCCGTGATATGTTTTCTGCAGATATACAGACACTGTAGCTCACTGAAAATATGTACACATCTCATCAAATTCGTAATTTGTAAATGGCTTTATTTTACTGATACAAATCCATTGTTTCACTTTTAATCTGTCTTCAAATGCAACTCCCAATGGGCTTCGCCTCTGAGTTACATAAAGTGAACAAAATTCCACTTGGAATAGCTTTTCGGACAAGTGGAGGCCCAATACTCTTGTTACAACTTTTGCTAGTAGTGGATCGATGGCACTTTAAAAATGACATGCTTACCAATTAGCTTTTTTCAACAAACGATAAGATAATTTACATTAACTTATGGAGAGAAGAATTTGAAAATGGAACCTCGGGTGCAAGGGCAAGTGGTCTTAACCAACTAAGTTACAATCACTTGCCCAACTAGCTATTTTGTTTAGTAAAGTTTTTTCTTCAAATTTTAATGGAGTGTCAAACTGATACTACATGTTACACATACTCTTGTTACAACTTTTGCTAGTAGTGGATCGATGGCACTTTAAAAATGACATGCTTACCAATTAACTTTTTCAACAAACGATAAGATAATTTACATTAACTTATGGAGAGAAGAATTTGAAAATGGAACCTCGGGTGCAAGGACAAGTGGTCTTAACCAACTAAGTTACAATCACTTGCCCAACTAGCTATTTCGTTTAGTAAAGTTTTTTCTTCAAATTTTAAAGGAGTGTCAAACTGATACTACATGTTACACAACTCAAAATCTACACGAATATAGGATCTTATATGCACGGATAATGCATTTAATGTATTTTTGTTCATGTTTTGACAAATGATATGTCAATGATTATTTACATGTTTTATATCATTTTGTGTGTCGAAAAGTTTGTGGGTTGACAAGAACACAACCCAAATATAAAAATGGGTAAATGCGACCATAACCCGTTGCTATCCCTAAAAGAGGTCGCAATTAAACAAAGAATAATGGAAAATACACATAGAATGGATCAAATATGATTGTAGTTTCCATAAAACAAACCAGTAATGAATTTGGACGAGTTGGCGTCCTTGATCAGGAGAGACTGAACCATTCCATGAAATTGCACCAAGCTATACATATATGCATTTGGTCTTGTTTGTGTCCACAAGGGGATGAACATCTCATCGCAGCAAGTATTGACTTGCTAAGTTAGATTTACGAGGCCTACAAGTTCATATATAATAACTGCATCATATAAATTAACAAGTTATAAGCGTGTGACGGTGTGAGTGACTATCGACAATTGATGCATTATGAGTTCCACTCGCATTAACGACAAAGAATCAAGTCACTAAGTGTCGGCAAGGCCCCAAGCTCTTCTAAAAGAGCTTCGTGTGATGCATGGGATGGGGTGGCACCAACCAACCCCAGCGTTTTGTATGTCCTGATAATCCAAAGAGGTCTCTGATATTGTTCCTTCATGGTGTTGCTGGCAACCACATCAGGCAGCTAGCCAGCACATCAATTTGGACTTGTACCCCGATCAACAGCCACCTCACTTGTAATATTCACTTCGATCGGAATATCATTTGGGTCGACTTCATACTGTAATATTCGAACAAATAAAGGACAAATTAAGCTGTTAAAGATCTATATATGTAAACAAAAGACTATATGCGTATATATTTATTGGCAAGAGACACATCAAAATGACAGTATATTCACGTCGTCGAAGTCTTTGACATTGAGAGGGTGGAAGTTGGATAATAATGTAGTTTACCGGTGTCGAAGTCAAATGGAAACTGCATGTATGCCATGTAATATTCATGCAATTATATCAAATTTTGGCACCTAGCTAGATATACCGTATATCAAATATTTCTGTTTTCATTTGCAATGTGCATGGAAGATGGAATTCACCCATCTATTCAAGCAGGAAAGTGTCGAAAGAAAAAAAAGTTTTCATTGATAGTCTGGGATTGATATTTAATCTCTCCATCATATCCACCGTTCAACTTAGAGAGAGAGAGAGAGAGAGAGAGTTAGTTCTGCATGATTCATGCAGGTAATAAAATATGAGCAATTCACCCAATTAACAATTATGCATGCCTTTGGTATGGGAATGGACAAAATTTGTAATCTTGGGCATATTTGATAAGGTAACTAGAATATGCTTGGGAATATTTCAAGTGATGGTGATCTCATCAGTCAAAATTCTATTTATTAAGATGATAAACATTATACAACTTGAGAATAGTAAGCAAAAATACCGTCGAATATATGCTCAATATCCTCTTTACAAACCAGAAAACGACTTTAGCATTGATTGCTTAATTCTTACCATTCTAATTTAATAAACAGCAAGAGGCACTTGGCCTTAGATTCCCCTGAAGGGACACACACACTCTCTCTCTCTCTCTCTCTCTCTCTCTCTCTCTTCTCTCTCTCTCTCTCTCTCTTCTTTTACTTGGACTTATCCTCCACAACTCACCTTCCAATTCCAAGCATCCATACCATAGCCCATGCCCATTTTCTAGAACACCTTTGACGATGTTCCTAAACTGATCAATATTTCTTTTGCGTGCTTGAAAA